ACCTTATAATCCTGACCACCGTGTGGCTGCAGCAGCATGGCAGAGAGCGGGAGGTGGACAGCGGTGGACTTCTATCCTCTTCTAAATGCTGGGGTAGATCCTGGATGCAGCTTGCCCTGGGTGACTCATGTATTTCTATGGTGCTGGTGGCCGGCTCGCTGGCAGCATGGAAATGCATGACATTTGCAGGCACCCCTGACAAAGCCAGAAGCCACCCCAGTGTGCCGCGGCACCCTAGTTGAGAGAGGCTGATGTAGATCAATGGCCTGACTGACTGGCTATACAATATATATATAAATATTTTGGTAGGCTCTAACATTACACTTGGTAAATCTTAAATCTAAGGGCCTGTGTCGACAGGCCTTTGTTTCAGATGGGTTTTGCATAGCCATACAAGTCTATGGGAATGCAAAACCGATTACATGCAGATTAGAAGGAGGTCAACAGCAGGTCAGATGCACATGTCCCTGATTTTTGAATGATCTCAAAAGCATCTTAAACAAATGTCATTGAGAGAAGCCCAAAACCTGTTGACACTAAAGGAGATAGTATAGCGATTGTGCAGTCAGTTTGTAATGTGTATGGTTATTAATTAAATGTTTGGATATGACTCAAACATCACACAGTTTTGCTGCAAAGCCCTAATAAAAACATTTGTGCGCAGGGAGAAGAAAAAAAAATATTCTGCCATTTGCTATTAGTAGTTTGATGTTTAGATTACTGAGCATTGTTCAAACTGTTTAGCCTAATATAAATTCATTTTTTTTTTATAGTTAGGAGATCGAAATGGGGAACTGACAGCCCAGCTGAACCTTTCTGACCTACAAATGGTACTAGGACTTAGCTACAGCACTAATACTTCAGTATTGTCTGAAGTGCAGGATGTGGATACCAGTTCTCTTGGTAAGATCACATTGAGCCTGATAAGGAATTTGAAAATGTTCATACAATAAGTTACATAGTTAGTCAGGTTGAAAAAAGACACAAGTCCATCGAGTCCAACCTATAGAGATACAAAGAAGAGAAAAAAAAAAAAGAAGAAAAGCCTAAACAGAACACTATGCCCACAATTACCCAATGTTGATCCAGAGGAAGGCAAAAAAAAACCCCCTATAAAGCATGGTTCAATTTGCTCAAACAGGGGAAAAAATTCCTTCCTGATCCCATAAGGCAATCGGATATTCCCTGGATCAACCATCTCTGGTGTTTTTAATATACCTCTAAGAACTCAATATCCAGTAATATTCTGTGCATTTAGGAATACATCCAGATGTTTTAACCGAACTAGGTAGAACTAGCTCCTGGGAGAGTCTATTCCACATTTTCACAGCTCTAACTGTGAAGAATCCTTTCCATATGCAAAGGTTAAACCTCTTTTCCTCCAGACGCAAAGAGTGCCCCCTTGTCCTTTGCAGTGACCTTAACGTAAATAATTTGCCACCAAGTTCTTTATATGGACCATTTATGTATTTATACATGGTGATCATGTCCCCCCTTAATCGCCTCTTCTCCAGAGAGAACAAATTCAGGTCAGCTAATCTTTCCTCATAGCTGAGCTCCTTCTTGCCTCTTATTTTCTTAAATTTAAGAAAATAATTTAATATCTTAAATTGTGTGACTATTCACTTTCATTACCCAGGTCCAGATAAAATAAGTAAACAGGAATTTTCATTTGGGTAATTGGATAATTGAAGTGAATCTTCACATAATTGTATAAACATCACAAAATTGTTTCTCAAATCCTTTTAAATAGAAGCCAAGTAACAATCACTCTCATTTATTCTGTATTCGCTGATCTAGCACTTAAGGATTTCAGAAACAATTTTGTGATGTTTACACAATTATGTGATTCACTTCAATTATCCAATAACTCACTTATTGGGGGCACTTCTAGTCCTCCACAACCATATAGAAGGGGGCACTTCTAGTCCTCCACAACCATATGGAAGGGGGTCACAGCAAGATAAAACACTGTTTGCTTAGTTTTCTCTTGCTATCTGGTTCTTTCTGCTCAGCTTAGGAATAGCACAGCTTGAGGCTTTTGTATCTTACAGTTCTTTTAAATCATTTTAGCAATGTGCCATGCTTTGAAATTGTATTACCTCATTTCTAATTTCCTCTACTCCAATTTCTTTTTTACATCACCATTTGTGTACCACCTCAGCCCTAGTTCTGCTCTAAAGAAATTTCATATAGTAAAAGTGATTCACACTTTGCCATCCCTTTTGTGTGCATATTTTCAACAGAGAAAAAGCACAGCTTGTCTCGGTGGATGAAGACCACATAACTGATTAGATCAGAATGAATGTGTTGCTTTGATTTTTTTTAGTTTAGTGTAGTTGCCGACTAGATAAATTAGTTTATCTGCTTGCATCTCCTAAAAACTCCAGTGGCAACTATCATACCTATATTTCCTGGCTTGCTTCACTCCCGTGACTTTTACATTTTTTGTTTTCCATTGGATTCCTTATAAATCCTCATAATAGAGTCCATTTTCTGAGACGGGAACACCTATTGTATGGTCTTGTGAGACGCACATTACAACTGAAGAATCTCTCAACTTGAATGTTCATGAGATTTAGGTACTGCTAGGTGATTCACTCTGTTGAGCCTACCCGGCATTAATTGGCGGTTTAGGGTGCAGTTTGCTTTGATTAAACCTGTTGGCCATTATAAAGTTTTAGATGGGAAAAGTACTGCCTAGGGGAAAGTACCATGTGGTGTTTTTTAGGTTACTAAAGCATGAATTTGAGAAAATTCCCTACCCACCTTCCATCACCCTGTCTAGTAAAGGTGCTTAACTGCTTGAGTACCAGTCTTTATGCACATCTTTATTACCAGGTCATTTTTCAGCTTTCAGTGCTGGGATAGTTTCACTTACAACTCGGCAAGGCAGCATTGTACTCAAATTATTTTTAGATCCATTTTTTTTTTTAGACAGAGCTTTCTTTTAGATGTTTTTAGTAAATTCTGTTGTTTTTTGTTTTTATTTATTTATTTTTAACTATAAAAAGGAAAATTAAAAAAAAAAACCCTTTCTGCTAAAGTTAATGGAAAATGTCAGGACAGTGTGAACAACCCCAAAAAGACCCCCCTTTTTTTTTTAAAGTAGACACCCCGAAGTGATCTGATTTTTTTTTGCCCATAATCTTTCGGAAATTAGATAGCATGCTGGTATTGAGTTGGTTAAAGCTTGGTAATAGTGCTCTAATTTGGAGGTATATAAAATCACCACTGGGGGGTGGGGGGTTATTTTTTACTATATAATGAAAAAAGTACAGTAAAAAAAAAACAAAGTTTCCCTATGTTATATTATAAAACATCTATTTTTACCCATATTTTTGGTAAAACATAAAAGTCAGGGTCACGTCGGGTAAATAAACAAAACATGTCAAGCCTTAAAATTGCGTGCGGCCGCAAAATCACAAAAAACTACCACACTGAAAATTGGCCTAGACGACGCTTAAAACGCTTTTACCGCTCATTCGTTTAGTGTTATCAGTAATTAATGGCCCTAAAATGATTGCTCACACTCCGACATTCGCGGTTATATGTAACATGTGAGGCACAATCGTTGTTTTCGCATGTAGGCGCACCTGACGCATATCTGCATGTGTATGTAGGGGGTGGCGGACTTAAAAAAAATTTTTTTTTTATGATTCTTTAATTTTTGTATTTTTATTTTTAAAACAACTTTATTGCTATCACGTAGGAGGGGGGGGTCTCCGACGTCCTCTCGTCACAGACGAGCGGACGAGTGGATTTTTCAAGCCCTGCACATATATAATATATGTGCATGTCCATCCTGTTACAGAGGGACAATTTGTTGCTGCACTGATCAGTGCTCATTCATTCACTATTTCCTTTTCCCTCTTCTTCCCCTGTTGTAGGAGCAAGGGGGTGGGCTCTTTGATGTAAACACACAGGGGGGAATTTATCAAGGGAGTTGCTCCACTTTTCTGTAAGTGACAAATTTTCCACGTTTATTTGCACCTTATTTATCAATGCCGTCTAAGCCTTGATAATAAATGTAATTTTCATTAGACATGTTGGGGGGACTTTATCATAGCAATTGCGAGTGTTTGAACTTGCACGGAATATATTTGCACCAGATTTATCAAGCTAGTGTAATGTTGTTGATAACTGAGGTTTAATAGACTCCAGGAAAAAAGACTACTAACTTCAGGCAAAAAGCTTAACTTTCGCATCTTGAAGAAGTGGTCACGGGGACTTCTTAAGTTGTGACTGTTTTCTTAGGTGATGCTCCAGTTTCATACAGCCCCGGAACAAGTGCAGATGAAAACGGGGGCAAAAAACATGCAGTTGAAAAAGTAGTGCAAGCTCTGAAGAAAACATGTGCAGTTGGAAAAGTAGTGCAAGCTCAGGTGAAAACAGAGGCACATGTTGAAAGACAGATTTGCACATAAAAAAAATGATCTAAGAGGCTAAAACTGTCGTAATTGCTTTGATAAATTCCCCCCGCACTGTTTACATATTGTGATTGATCTTTCTATCACCATTGACAGCGATCTGAAGATCCAGAGCAGCTCTGAGCGGCTTTGTACACAGAGCCTGCGAATGCATCCATTCGAGGACGGTTTGGTTCGCCAGCATTAATGGGTGGAACAGTTACCAGGGGGCTATTTTTGGAATGACATTTATAAACATCAGTCCAGAAATAGACTGCCAGCAAGGATGCTTAATCATGAAGTCAGGGAAGTTGTGCCTTAAATGAAAGGAAACCTGTTTCAGAGTCGGGATTTAACTTTTTAAGAGTTTTACAACGGTTGACTGGGTTGTTTTAACACTACGGGAAATGAGGCACTGTTTTTATTTATCTTACCATACCATCCCTGATGACACGTAACTGCCGCACAGATCATTTTTATGTTTGTTTTTTAACAGGTGCGCGGCCTCGGTTAAGCAGACGTCACAGTATGGAGAATTTGGAACTTGTTAAGTTAACACCAGATAAGGTAACTAACATTTTACTTTTTGTGCTAAATTACAGTTCTAAATATCAAGGAAATGTAACTGTACCTTAGTGCCACAGTTATTGCTGTTAAAGAGACTCTGTCAGTCTCTCACAAATTGTGCCTAAAGTTCTCTGCAAGAGAAGAGCCATTAGACTTCCCTTTCTGGGGACCCATGTCTCCTACCTCTTCTCCTTTCCATTGCTGCAGCTGCCATCAGTCTCTCCCGTATTCTGCATTTCCGGAATGTCATATGCCTATGTCCCCATACTTCGCACTGTCGCTGCTTCGTCTACCCTCTGTCACTGCTGAATCCATGACCACTCTATCCAAAAAAAGAAAAACGTTTTGGCTTGACAAATTTTAAATCCTTTTAACCATGTATGGTCAAGTGTTCTGATTGTTCACTGGCTGCATTTGTGTTCCGAGTCACTGCAAGTAGGGATGTCCCGATACCATTTTTTTCAAGACCAAGTACAAGTACTTTCCCTCATGTACTTGCCTATAGCAATTACCGATACCTTTTCTTAAAGGGACATGTGACTTTTTTCTAAAACAATACAGACTAATGATTTTAGGGAAGTTTCTTTATAATTATGAAGAACTGTAACACAATCCATAATTATTTAGCAATGGATAATGGCAGCCAGCAATAGAGGACTACAGATTCCATCAACCCATGATTATACAGCAATGGAGAATGGCAGCAGGTTCACTTACCTGCCAGCTTGTTGAAAAATGTAGCCCTCAGTTTTAACAAAGTATCTTTCTATTAGTGGGTGTTATCACCCACTAGTGGAGTCCCCAGACAACCATAAGGAGAGGAGAGCCTGGGAAAAGTGAAAACCATGCTGTGCATGAACAATTACATTTTTCTTAAAACCTTTTTATTTTAGGTGGAGAACTGGAACACTGAAATACTTGCAAAACAGAAATCCCTTCTGTCCAAGCCATCTGCTAAACTTATGTTTGTCAATAGACTTAAAGGAAAAAAGTTTAAGAACAGCACTGCAAAAGTCCTGCAGGACACCAGCAATTCCTCTGATGTCAACAGAAAGATGGCAAATTCTCAGCGGGTTGGTATTTGCATGCTTTGTTGTCTTGCAGGGTTATTATTACAGAGGGTATTTGTAGAAGCCAGTAAGGGATCTGTTTTGTGTGTTTTGTTTTTTTTTAAACCTGTGCTGGTCCCTACACCTATTTTGTACCACCAGTAAGTGCCGACATCCTGTCTCTAATGGCATGGGCAGCACTCTATTGCATATTTTAGAATCTAAAAGTGTAGTGTGTTTTTGTTTTTGTTTTTCTTTATTTTATTTGCAATCTAGGGGGTACATGGAGTCTACATTATGTGGTAATTGTTCATTATAACCCATAGAAATTCTGTAGTCACAGAAATGCTTCCAGAGTATGTGCGCTGCCATCTTTAGCACATCTGGTTCACAGATGTGTTGGTTTCTGGCTGTTTGGGCCAGCAAATGTGGGTTGGCAAGCTAAAGAATATGATTCTCTAGTCAATGTCACTCTTTTATTTAAGTATAAATGCAGGCTTTTAGATAAACAAAGGATAGGCTGAGAACTTAAAGTATAATTAAACTCTCAGGTTTTTTTTTTTTGCATATATCTACTGCTAGCTAGCAGTAGATATATGCAAAAACATTTAAAAAGTTACCAAAAATTATCTTTTTTTAACTGTTTTCCATTTTTGTGTGAACATTTTCAATAAAAATTATCTGATTGGAAAAAAAAGAATTAATTAATTTACATTAGCTAGATGGTATTAATGCTTCACAGATATACTTTTAAACCTGTGATTAATGGCACTTGCTGGAGATGTAATAGAGTCACATGTCTTGTACAGGTCTGTGAGAGCCAGAACTCTTGCTTGTTTGTAGGTGACCAAATACTTATTTTCCACCATAATTTGCAAATAAATTTGTTCCAAATCAGCCAATGTGATTTGTCTATATTTGTTTTCTCATTTTGTCTCTCATAGTTGAGGTCCACCTATGATGCCAATTACAGGCCTCTCTCATCTTTTTAAGTGGGAGAACTTGTACAATTGGTGGCTGACTAAATACTTTTTTGCCCCACTGTATATAGTGTTAATGCTTAGTTTCTTCTTTGATAAGATTCTAGCTATCTACAAATAAATTGCAGGACTTAAGATAAAATATATATCTCCTTTTATTATCTTACTATAGCTTATACCTGGATTATATAAACATATTAAGAATAGCCTATTGTTACTTTATAGCTGCAGCACGTACCTTCTATACACAGAGCTTGGATCTTATATCCATGTATTATGGTTTGTGTAATATCCACAATGGATTATGTAACATTGTTGTCTTTTATTTGTTAATACCTCTTTATAAACCTACTTTTGCACGATATTCTAATTATTCGAGTTTCACCTGTATATATACATTAAGTAGTTTCTTTGACTACTTTGATATTTAGTGAAGTGTCAACTAAACCTAAACAATTAGGCCAGTTTATAAAGACAAGGAGAATAGGAAGTCCTCCTGTGTACAAATCAGTAGGCCCATAGCTCTTTCGGTCGTGTACAGTCAGTTTGAACTAGTTTCCAGTGAAATGCATTCACATAATTGTAATCTTTGTGCTCTATGTCTTTAGAAAACAGCGGTTATAGACAGCGTAGGAGATGAAGGCTTCTTTGATCTATTGAGTCGATTTCAAAGCAACAGAATGGATGACCAGCGGTGCAGCTTACAGGGCAAGAACTTCATGAGTGTTCCCATAGCCACATGTTCCACGCCTCCAAAATCCATGAGAAAATGTATGTCACACATTTATCATTCATGAACTGGAAAAGTGTCTAAATATATGTATGGTGTTTGCTGCAAAACATATATACGGCATTTCTGCTTTTGTGTGGTGCATGCCATTTCTTACAGCTAAACTCCAGGCAATCGGCTGTATACACATATGAAATGCATATATTAGAGATGTTTTACCTGCCAAAGGTTTACTGTTTCTGTCCATACAGTCCTGAGATTTGCAAAGCACTGCCACAAAGTACAGCCCTGCCTGGGAGGGGTATTGGATCTTCCGTTGTTGCAGTGGGACTTTGGACAACAGTTATTCATCCTATCTTGTAACTGGAAAGTGAACAGAGCAGCTGCACACTGATGAGCTAATCTCTTTCACTCTGCTCTCCCTTTCTATTAGTATGCACCTTGCAGTGTAGCACCAGATTGGCTGCTAGATACACCCCCCATCGAAGCTCTTTGCCCCTGGAGTTCAGCTTTAAGTGAAAAAGCTTGTGTACATGGGGGTGTATGCTATGCTAGTGGTTACACTGCTGTTTTCAAGTTAAACTGTAATGGCAGACTAAACCTATTGGGTATCAATGTGAAAATGTTTAAAGTGGGTTCTACTCAAGAGATCCTTTTAAATAGGTGGTGTCACATGCTTGGGCAATTCGGATTACAAAACTCCTGGTCAAAAGGATTAGTAGATCCAGAAATATGGGAATCTAAACTTGTATTCCATGTAAAGGCTGAGCTTGTTTTTTGCAGGAAAAAAACTAAACACAGCAGCCTATATATCTACTCTTCATTTTGGCATGCAGATTGAAGGTGGAAGTTTAGATCAGAAATTGAGCTCACATAAAAATATTAGTTAGATTACAGCACTTGCATACATCAATTTGTTCCCCTTTGTAAAACAGTTGTATGTTCTGCATCTTAGAAATGCTGTGAAGGGGCTGAGTGTTTACACTATATGGCATATGTAGCGCACAGGGCACACAGAAAAGAAAAAAGCGCTGGAGGAGAGATGAAGAGTTGTGTTTTTGTTGGCAGAAGAGACTTTGCATGTCTTGTCTACCACAAATCCCTAAAGTGATTTTTTTTTTTCACTTCAGCTTTAAGGGGCATTTCCACTGCGGACTGGATATAGCTCTCTGCTAGATACAACATTGTTTACCCCGCACTGCTTATTCATAAAGTGCAGGCCATGATGTAGAGCTAGCAAGAGGCCAGTGGCTTGACTGACAGGTTACATTAGCTGGCCTTCCTCGTCCCCCCCCCCCCCCCTCATTCACTGACCTTATAGACATTTTTCCACC